TAAAATTTCACTAAGTTAAAAATGGTTTAGTGCCCTTATTCAAAAAATTGTAACTTGAGATACAAGCTTCAAATGAGAAAACTTTGTGAATCAAAGTTGTAGATTATGCAACAAACTACAACTTTCATGTTTGGACTTTTGTTTGAATCCAAATGGATCATGGTGAAAAAGTTGGGCAAAGTTGGGAAAAAATTAGGGTTTTTCATAACTTAGAAAAATTCTAAGTTATGAAAAATTCCATTTTAAACCCTAATTTGCATTTTGTGATTTCTTGGTGAACAAGTTTCATTATTTGGCATGTTTTGATGAAAAATGAATCTTGACTCTTGATTTTGACCAAAAAAGTCAAAGTTTGACTTTTCAGTGTACAGTCAAAATTGATCAATTGACTGGGAAATTCAACTGTCAACCTTGTGTACTTGGGATCTTTTGAGCTTGTTGATCATGCCAAGATAATTCCATGGGGTCCTTGAGTCCATGTGTGAGCTTGGTTTGCCATTTGCTAGGTCAAACAGTCAAAAATTGCCTTTGTACAGTCAAAACCCTAAAAATGACCATTTTGCCCTTTTGGTGATCTGATCAAATTTCTTGTGGAATTGTGATCCAAACTTGATCAAATGGTTCATATGAGTTCATAATGTTGATGTGGGTCAAATTTCATGAGGTTTGACTGTCAATTGGCCACAGTTGACTTTTTTCCCCAATACAGTTGATTTCTAGGTCAACTGTCCAATTGACTGGGCAAAACTTGGAATCAAGACTTGAAACTTGGTATGGGTAAACTTGGGAGTCCAAAATGAAGCATGAAAGTCATCTTAGGCATTTTAGGTCAAAACATTTTGGTGCAAACATAAACCCTAATTTGAGTCAACAGTGCAAGGAGAGGTCTTGAGCAGATGAAAACCCTAACTGGATCCTAAGCTTCAAGGCTTTGTGGTGAGAAATTAATGAGAAATGGGAGGGCAAATTTTGGGGTACAACAGTTGGTTATCCTGGTTCATTTGAACTCAAAATACTACAGTCCATTCGCCAAGGTAATTTCTCCACTCTCAATAAAGTATTAATCCACTAATCAATCTTGATTGCAAATCTATTATGACAGTCGTCAAAGTCTTCTTGACTATAAACCACAAGACGATTTTCTCAAGGAATTTCTCTAAATAATATTTGAATAAAAGTGTACAAGAATGTTTTCTAATAAAACAATATCACAAGTTATGTTTTACACAATTTGAATTTTAAATGTTTGAGGATGAAAAAGATAGCTTCGTTACTGTTCGTGAAAAATCGTAAATGATTTATCCTTCAAATTTTGTTTAAATAGGCAGAGCATGTAGGAGCTTTTGGAATGTTGATCAATGACAATTAAAGAGCTTTCCAAAAATAAAGATCTTTGTTCCCTTCCCTCCGTTACTTTTGAAATGGTAATAATTGATTTGTAACACTTCAGAACATGCTTGCTTCAGAAGATGAAAGTATCCATTGCGTCTTTCCAGAGCTTTGTAGATCAGAAACACGGAGTTCTGTTTGCAACGTTAGAACTTCTTTAAAAGATGTTTATAATCAGAGTTGAAACAACTTTTTAACTCATCTTCTGATCTTCTTCCATCAGAACTTCTCTGCAAAAAAAAATTTTTTGGGGAGCATAATTTTTTTGTGTTTGTTATCATCAAAACTCTTACAATGATTGTAGAATCAAAATATGTTCTAACATGCTTAAGGCTCGTGACACATGGTTCTCCTATTTATTTGTTAAATGTTTTTTAAATTTTTTACTAAGAAAAAAGAAGTTTTAGTTTTAAAGATCCAAGTGCAAGGGAGAAACAAAATCTAAAGGGAAACTAAGTCCTAATGTTATCATGCAAAATGGTCCTAAAGCTAGGGTTTTATGAAGGGAAATCTACCTAATGTTAGCATGCAAGACGGACCTATGGGAAATGATAAAGGGAAATTCTACCTAATGTTAGCATGCTTGTGTTAGAAGCTCAAGTCTAATCAATTCACATCTAAAATAAGATGGAATCAAACTCCTAAGGGAACATGGTAATCACACAAGCAATCAATCAAAGAAGTATGAATAAAGATGAAGCAGAGGTACATCAACCAAAATTTGCAAACAAATAAAATCCTAAACTCTAAGCATACTTTACGTATATCAAGTAATGAGCAAATATGTATTAAATAAAATACTAAAAAACACACTGCAATCCCTAAGGGTCATGCTCAAAAGACCTCAAGGTTTAAAGGTTCTAAGACCTAGACAAAAGCACACAAACATTGCATAAGCAAACATGGCTTAAAGCATCAAGCACACATCACAACTTATAACACAATGGATATATGTGTTGAATAAGATTAAGAACCAAACAAGTCAGCAATCACACCTCAATGAACTCAAGTAAAAATGTCTCAAAGATGAAAGAGAAATCACATAAGGATCACACATAAATTTAGGTCAAGAATATTCATGCATCAAAACTAGTCCCTAATAATTAAATCAAAAAATGAATGAAGCATTATAGGAAAAGCATGGAAACTTGATCGGTTATAGCTTAGGTAAGATTTGAATTCAAAGCAATGTATTAAGGTTCACAAAAGAAGCTCACACAAACACCACATTCAATAATGATCAAACTGTTAAGCAATTACATCACACATTTTCATCCTTAAGAGGAATCATCACTTCATGTAAAATAAATGATCAAGTAAACATGTGATAATGCATTTAGATGACACAAATCAGAAACATACATAATTTATTCCATATCTATCATGGTTTACAAACTTCAAGTATTCATGCATAGGAGAGGGTTAAGCAATTAGTAATCAAACCCTAGTGTATCAACTAAATGAATCATCATCAACGTGTTAATGAATTATCAAATAACACAATCAAATGAGGTATTCAAACCAAATAGGTCATAGGTGAGAGTATGGTATTCATGTAATTCAATTTTTCAAACATCAAGAGCAATCACACAAGACAAGATCCAAAATTCACAACATAAGATAGGCAAACATCACTTCAAACATTTTCAAAATATGTCATCAATGTAAAGCATTTGGATGATAAAATATATATGAGTAATAAGGCATTACCTCATGGTAAACAACTCAAAATAAAGTTGAGAACAAATCCCTAATGGTTGCACAAGTGCATACCCTAATCAATCGATCAAAACAATAAATCATCAACAATTTTAATCGTGCATTAGGACTTTTAAATAAACAATTAGAGGGCCCCAAAAATTAAATGAAATAGAATCTCAATGACATTAGGTCATCCACCAACAAGTGTCCAAAATGTTCCTGAAAGAGTGCTAAAAAATTCTCATCAACACATCATCAAAACATCAACAACATCTCAACACATGAACATGCATTTAGAAGCTCATTAAAAGGAGTTAAACATGTATTAAATAATTACAAACGTACCTGAAGGAATCAACCAAACCCTAAGCATAGATGTTCCTAATCACATCCCAAAAATTGGCCCAAGATCATGCTCAAAAGTTACTCAAACTTAAACCCTAATCACAAGGTTAAACATTTAAGACACCTTTAACAATTAAATTTAAATAAAATAGGAAGTTAAATAGAAAAATAAAATAAAAATAATCTAAAATTTCTCAAGACATTAAAGTGTAAGGAAAATATTTTTTTGGATTTTTTTAATAAGAAAAAGATGAGAAATAAAACCAAAATTGAAAATAGAATAAAAATATTTTAATAAAGGGTTAAATATACAAACCCCCCTGTAATGTTAGCGAGGTTAGGTTTTAGCCCCTGGTATTTATTTTTAATCCCCCCCTTATGTTATGTAGATTCCCTCACAAAACCCCATTAGCCAAGTGGCATAGAATCTTCACCCATGATTTCATGCGTGGACTTTTCATTTTGTTGTTTTTCAAATTTGTGTCCACATGTGCATGACAGCATGGCATAATTGTTCTGATCCAACACCATACAACATTAGGGTTTGTTTTCCCCCATTTCTCTCTGCATTTAAGGTCGTCACTTTCAAGAACTCGTCGCTTTCAGTCGTTTGCTGACATCTGTATTCATGGGTGGAAGTAAGTGTTCATCAACGGGTAATCTGGGTAAGGGTTTGCCAAGATGTGGGTGCAACTAAACCATGAAGTTGTGGGTATCTAACACCCTCGAAAATCCAAGCAGAAAATTCTGGAAATATAGAAATTCCATGGTGAGTTGTTTATAAGGTTGTAATTCCTTTTATATTAACCTTTTCAGTTATTTGTGTATTAATATTGATTAAAATTGCAGAATGGTTGCATATTTTTTGTCTAGGATAATATGGTTAGCGAGGCTGAAGTGAATTTATCCAGATGCTGCGAATGTGACATGAACAAGGGTCATTTGAGATAATTTACGAAGGAGGTCGTTGGGGAGATTGATAGCAGAGTAGGTAAAAAAGTAGTGAGCATAAGGGAGGTTAAACAAGCTGGAAAATTGAAGAGAAATGTTATATTGGAAAAGACAAAGAATTTCTGGATGATGATTGTAATTATTCTGTCATGGATGATTTTTGCAGTTGTGTATAATTTTAAGTAGTTGTTATGTTTTCAAATTGTAATTGGTACTTCGTCTTTCATGGGTTGTAATTGTAAGATAAACCAGTTTGTGTTGAATTAAAGCCTAAGTTTCGTTGTCCATTTCAATTGTAATTATAAGATAAACCAGTTTGTATTGAATGAAAGTTTAAGTTATGTTTTCCATTTCATTTAGAATTGATGCAATTTAGTTTAAGTTATTTTCAATGACAGTGATTTTACATAAAACTTGACAGCATAGTTGAAATAAGTTAGATTAACAAAAGCACACTTGGTGCATATGTTTTTTACAGCATTACCAAAAGGACACAAAAGGCACATATAGTTCATAGGTCTATTACAACATTACAATTTGAAACAAGCACACATTGATACAAATGGCACATATAGAGCTTAGGTATATTACAAGATAACATAATACTTAATCTCTCATTTTTTGGCCTTCCATGTCTTCATAAACCTTGTTTTCACTCCTAGCTTGGAGTCTTTTGAACATGACTTCTCTCCAACTTCTGGTATGGTAATTGGCTGCTCAGTAGATCTTGGGCCTGTAATTAGTTTCTTAAACCAAATCAATTTTATCCTTTCACTTTGCCTTCTTTTTGTGACCGGCTTCTTTCCTTTTTGTTTCTTTGATTGCCTGAGAATTGAGTTAGCCACAACAGCTCCAGTTTGACTCATAGCAGTTGCTACAAAAATGTTAGTCTCGGTATGCCCATCAGTGGGCAATGCAAAATCAATATCCATTATACTCGGTCCATCATTAGGCATTGAACTTTATCCATCATTAGAAACTGAAGGAACTGAACCATGTCCATCAGTAGGAACTGTCCTTTCAGCTTCAGCAGAATTTTTTACATTTTTAACTTTCCTCTATACAAATAATAACATGTTATATTAGTCACAAATAAATTATATTTTGTACAACAGATTGAATTTTAAGAAACACAGCCATACCTTTCATTTCAATGCATTCGGGTCCTGTGTCAATGCCTTGAAAGTCAACGCATTGTTACTAAACTTGTCACATTTGGTGCACTTATATGCAACCCCAAGTCTTCTCTTTCTTGCACCTTCCTTTCCAAGTTCTCTTATCCTAACCTTCCTAGGCCTTTGCTGGACCTTTTTTTGTATGATGGTGGTAATACTTGTTTCATTTCTACTTCTGGCCACATATCCTGACCATTGATAGGGCTTATTGAAAAAACATAACAAAGTGAAAAAATTTCTCTAGTGTAACACTCATCAACAAATTCATCAGGGTTTTGCTTCCTATAACTCAAATCTGCCACATCATGCCTACAAGGTATTCCTACTAACTCCCAGAAGTTGCAGCTACATGACCTATTAGTTATGTCAACAATAAACTCTTGTTTGTTGTAACTATGGGTGACTTGGAATTGCTCAACCATGGACCATGTTGGCAACCAATATCCATTGTTGAACACTTCATTATCTAACCTTCTTCTAGGTATTGGCATATAAGTGCCTGACACACAAATGCCAAAGGGAAGTATTGATCATTAGCATCTTTACCCACATCAATTAAAAGTTTTCCACGATACTTGGTCTTCAAATGACATCCATCAACCCCCACGAAGGGTCTGCATCCATTAATAAATCCTTTCTTACAACCATCAAAGCAAAAATAAAAGGACTCAAACCTTGGATGTATGGAAGGAGTAGGTCTTTCAATATTAATCTTCACAGTGTTACCAGGATTCACCCTTGTTAATTTGGATGCATACCTCCATATGGATGCATACTAATTATCTGCATCACCTTCAGTTACCTTCTTAGCTATTAACTTAGCCCTCCATGCTCTTGCAACAATAATCCCTACAGAAAAAAATTTCCTAATATCTTGCATTATATCTCTTATCCTAACAGTATCAGAAGTTTGCATCTTCTAATACTGTTAGGCAGAACCACATAACAAAAATAACACAAAGCTCATAAGCCTCAAACTGGTGTTCAAAGCTTGTAAACTCTCAAACCTGCCTTAAACATTCAAACACCTAAAAACCTGTTACATAACAAGAGCCTGCCTCCAAAACAAGCTTGAAGCCAATAAGCCTTTACAAACAAGCTTACAAACAAGCTTACAAACAAACTGTCAAACAAAAACTGAAGCCTTAACCTGCATAAGTTATAAACACAAGCCCAAGCGATACCTGTTTCATCATAGGGTTCAACAACATCAATATTTCTCAGATTCAGAGGCAAACAGAAGAAGAGGAAAAGAATCAAAATCATTAAAGGCAACTGAAGCAAACATATTCAGATTCAAACATCATCATCATACAGAAGCAAGCAAGCAATCAGAAAGAGGAAAAGAAGCCAGTAATCAAAGCAAGCAAGCAACCAGAAGATGAAAAGAAAATTAAGCTAGGGTTTTCAGTTATCATCATAAAACCAAAACAAGATACAAGTACTAAATTTCCAGCAAAGCTAGCTCAGCATCACTGCTCCCTCCGCCTGGCCGCCCCATACGCGCCTCCAAGTCCGCCTCTCCTCCTCTCAAAGCAACGAACCCCAAAGGTATAACTCCTTTTCTTTTTTTTCTTTTCACACCTCATACAGAAAATAATAATAATCAAGATCAGAACACATAGAACAAATTAAAACATGCAAAGAGGAAGACTGAAAACCCTAAGACATGAAAAGAGGGAAGCTGTTACCTTTTCTTGTCGCCGTTATGCTCAATCACAGAGGGAGAAGGAGTCGGAGGTGGCGCTTGGTGGCCATAGGCGGAGAAGAATTTTGTTCAGAGACCATGGCTCAAGAACGAAGAAGACAATGTTAGAAACGGCGCCGCTCTAAGCCTGTAACCCTAATCCAGTTCTGAGACTAACTCAATGAAACCCTAACAAATGTGTAAAATGCGTTTGGGCCTTGCCCCACAAAAGCCTAAGCCCATCAGAATTCCAGCGTGCATACCCCCCCCCCCCCCCTTTTGCTTAAAACCGTTCGCTTGGGCCTTCCCCTCTTACTAGACTATAGCCCATTCTTTTTTGTTTTGTACATAAACTAATATCTTTTTTACTTTTCATTTTATTTTTCTTTTTATAATTTAAACTAATATATTTTATTTATTTTGTTAAATAAAACAATACATTATTTTTATACAAAAATTTCTTTTATTTTATTATATTTGAAAAATACATGAATATTAGATTTAATTAGGTTAATAGACTTTTATCTTAAAATTCTTTTTCATAAATCTTTTTCATACATAAAGACATTAATACCTAGACAATAGGATAATTAAACTTAAAACATTTTTTCTTTTAATTAAAACTTTTGTATATAAAACATTAACAAAATACATAAAAATAGAACTTCTTAAGCATTTTCTTTTCTTTTATTAAATCTTTTGTTTATACATATTAACAAAAAACACAAAAAAGATAATAACACTTAATAAATACTTAATTTTGCATTAAGTTAACATTTCGCATTTGTAAATAATCACATACACTTTCACTAATACATTTGCTTATCTTTTATTCTTGTACATTGATATATATTACATCTTACATTGCGATTGCGGTTTGATTTGGTTGTAAATATATTTGGACACTACTCTCCTAATAAGTCTCATCCCCATTTGTAAATATTTGTACCCCCATTCCCGGATACATATTTGTAATAGCTTAGACTTTAAATTCCCGCAATTTATCGCTTTATATATACTGTATAGTTATTAGGGTTTGTATGCGAAGATTTAAAATCAACCGCTAGATAACCTATTACAAGACAAATGCATGACAATCAATACACAATTCACACTTGCACCCCTAGGGTAATCCCTCTTGTTGCCTTCCAAAATGGGCCATGCTTACAAGTTGAGTTTCTTTGGCAAAACAAATCAAATGATCATAGTCCCTCGATGACGCTTTCGAAAGTTGCCTAAACAAAATGATCATAATCCCTTCAAGCAAAATTGCCAAAGACACTTGGCACCATTGCATTCATGGTCTAAACGATGACCCGCGCTCGTCCCGTTAACATCCTAACACAAGATTGTCCACCAAATACAATGGTGGAACAATATTGTTAAAAGGGTTAAAACATAGGAAAAATCTTTGAGTAAATTTAGGGGTAGACAACTCTTAGTTACTTGATCAAACTTGCAAAACACACTTGCCTACTTTTCAAAACACACTCCACAACACAACTTTCAAAACAACTTTCAAAAACTTTGAAATATCTTTTCAAAAAGACAAACACCTTTGCATATACTCGAACAAGAGTCATTTCAATGGTTGCCTAGACAAGGCATCTTTTTCAAAACATTTTCAAAACCACACACACAAAGCACCATTTCAAACAATTGAAAATCAAGGCAAAGTGATCTAAAACAAGTAACTAAGAGCCCATGGATAACCATGGATGAAAAGGGTGCTAATACCTTCCCTTTTCATAATCTACCCCCCGAACCCACGAAAACATCTCAAAGGTTTTTCCTGTGCTTTTTAACCCTTCCTTTAGGATAAAATAAAAAGTCGGTGGCGACTCTTGCTAAACCGAACAAGTGCGAATACAAACGCAAAACCTCAAGTCAGTTCTCCCACTGTATCACAGAACTGGCGACTCTGTTGGGGATTAATTTAAAAGTGGGGTTACCTTAGGGTTTAGATCACCTTTACATACTTGCTTTGATTGCCTTGATTGCTTTACTTTTTGGGTCCTTGTTTGGGTTTGTTGTAAATCCTACACCCGGATTTGGGGCACCTTCTTAGGTAAATAGCAATAAAACTGTGAGGGAACTGTGCGGGGTATACCGACACGGTTAAAGCAGTAAGCTATGTTAGTGTGACATATTTGTGAGTACCGGTAACCCTTGAGTTCAATCAAGGAGAGTACGGGGCCGCTGAGTGATGTCATGAAGCACTAACGAACTCTTAGAACCTTAATTGACCATCTTAGCCTTTTTAGGGGCAGTGAGATGACCGACTTTGGTGCAGTCCGAAGTTGGTAGATACTCGATACTACACTCATTGAGGGTTGTTTTCTTGGAATATTTTGGTCGCCAGTTAAGTGGCTAAACCAAAACAATGAACACAGAAAATAATCCAATGATATTGGCTCCTTAGAACCCGGTTTCTATGTTAGGACAGGATGAGCCAACTAACTTCAAGAGGGTACTTACCTACAAACCCCATGCAAGCCTAAACCTAAGGAATTGTTTGCTTTGTGTGAATATGATTACATGTATATACACTCACTTGATTTTGCATACATGTACATAACATCATGACATCATACCATAGCATTTTCAATAACCATTTCAAGGATCTCGAGGGTTCTCTTGATGTAGGGTTACGTTGAACCAGACGTCTACCAAAGGGCAAGAGGTTTCTCCTATAAACAAATGCCATCAAAGATCAAGTGAAACAACTTGAATCAGGGGCTATGACCCACTTGACATGGTGAGCTTGATTCTCGTGGAAAGACGTCCACCGGTGCAAAGTTCTCCAATCAAAAACTGAAGTTCAACCTCTAACATTCTCTGGTGTCTACCCCAAGAGATCCTTGAAAACATTGCATACATATATCATACATATCATTGCATAACAGGTTTCTCCCATATAGGTTTCCTTATCTTCCTACTGTTTATTTCAGTAAGATGGATATGGAACAAACGGTGAAAGACCTCCAAGCTCAAAACGCTCAATTCCAGCAAATGCTTCTGGCTATGGGTAAAGGGCAAGAGGATCTGACAGCTCACCTTCTCAAAGACAAGAAGAAGAATTCCAAGAGGGCAGCAGGCATTCTGAACTTGAGAAGAAGACCTAAAGCCCAAGATCTTGCAACTCCATCCAACATGGGGATTAGTCTTGAAGAAGACCACAATCTGGAGATTGATGAAGCTGACTACTCCGAAGAACAATATCCTCCCGCTGATGACAAGTACAAATAGTTGGAGGGTCGCCCCAATGCTATGGAGGTTCAACAAATACCTGGCTTGGATTTAGGAGACATGGGTTTGGTTCCTGGATTGGTCATTCCACCAAAGTTCAAAGTCCCTACCTTGGCCCCGTATGATGGAATTTCTTGCCCTAAGATGCACCTGAAGTCTTATGCCCGCAAGATTCAACCATACACAACTGATCCAAAGCTTTGGATCCATTTCTTCCAAGAAAGCTTGGTAGGGGCTCAACTCGAGTGGTTATATCAATTGGAGAGTTCTCACATCCATACCTGGGAGGAATTAGCTGCTGCTTTTTACAAACAGTATCAGTACAATGCTGATCTTGCACCAACTCGTGTGCAATTGCAGAACATGACCATGGGTTCCGACGAGAGCTTCAAAGGATATGCCCAAAAGTGGAGAGATCTGGCTGGTAGGGTGCAACCCCCTTTGACTGACAGAGAGCTGATTGACATCTTCATGGGAACTTTGACA